ACAACAACAACAACAACAACAACAACAACAACAACAACGTCAACAACCACAACAACAACAACAACATCAACAACAACAACAACAACAACAACAACAACAACAACGACCACCACCAACACCAACACCAACACCAACACCAACAACAACACCAACACCAACACCAACACCCACAACAACCACGACAACAACAACAACAACAACAACAACCACAACCGCAACCACAACCACAACCACTACAACAACAACAACAACAACAACAACACGCCGCAAAGCCACTCCAAGGATCCGGTGGGAAGTTCTTCAGCAGGTTCACGCCTGCCCGGGAGCCTGGTCCCGTGCTCCACAAGATCGGCATCTCCGACAGCTCTCCTGCCTCTGGCGGGGGTGTCGTGACAAGTTCTGCCTCCGGCCACTCATGCTCCCCTCCAACTTCTGCGCCGAAGACTGCGACCTCAGATGCACTCTACCTGCATTGCGGTACACTTAACCCCATGTCGCCCAGGCAGTAAACTTTCTTCGCGCAGCCACCCCCTGCATTTCAGTCCACTTATCTTACCCCCGTTGACTGACTGCCTGTTCCTGGGACCACACCCTCCAAACAAAAAAAAGCAACACCCGTCCCGGCCCAGGCACGCTTGCACTGGGCGCCGGCGCTTGATCCCGGTCGCTTCCTCCTCATAGTGCAACTCTATCCCAGGCCCTGCATACGCCGGCTTCACCTTGACACCCCGAACTTCCACACAATCATCCACATTGATCTCTGACCATCCTCCTTGCGCCGAAGCTTTGATCGCCACCGTTCCAGTCCCATCACCGATCCGCAACACCATTGCTGGATAGCTTTAAGAGATACTCCGGATTTGAAAAGTTTTAAGGACCCTTCCAGACAGCAGCGACGGTCGCGTGATGGAGGCAATGCTCTCGACTGTCCGAAGCACCGGGCGAGATGCCGCCGGGACAGCCGGCGCCTCAACGACCGCTGCCGAAGCCGCTGGCGCCGCTGCCGGCTGCGCCGCACGAATCACCGGCATGTCCACCGACCTCCCGAACCTCGACCGCTGGGCACAGCACTGAGATACCAACAGCTCGCGGTCTCTTGCCGTTGACGCAACTATACCATTTAGTGCATCTAACCTTTGGGGTTTATGCCGCATGCCCTTTTATGTTAGACATCACCCAGGACGCAACCTCTGAAGTTGCACTCCTACATCTCACGCGTTCTGTTGGATTCACTCCCGGCGTGCCTTCCTTTCTGCACCGCTTGCTTGTTACGCGAAGCTGCCTTGAGAATCATTTCTAGGGGTCCATCCTGATCCACAGCGGCCTAGAATGTAAGGGTCGCATCGCACCGGAGAAACAATTTGCTGTGGGTCATGGCACCTGGCAACCCTGGTTTTTTTCCCCCGGAAGTTCGATTGGACGCCCCTTTCGTCGGAGGTCAACCGACGGTCGACCGTCTCCAGGGTGCACAGGTCTACAGGTGCCAGACCCACTGCCATTTCAAGAAATAGAACTGGGAACTGGTGGAACAACTGGGAAAGGCATTTTTTCGGGGAAGCGTGCGGCTTAGGGGTTTTTCGTGGGAACCTCTGCCCTGGAGCTTGGAAGACTTTTCCGGCCCCTTCAACTCCAAACAGCTTCACTCCGCAGTGACGGAGTGGCAGTGGAAACCTCATCCGTATCCTGACCCCCGACGTGGTTCGGCAAGACAGGGTGAACCGAGCGGCCTGATCCCTTTCATTCGTGACTTTTGATGTGAGAGGACTGACCATCTCCAAAGATGAGGTAGGATTGAGTGTTCAACTTTCATGCGCGATTCTTCGTCGCGCTCACCGTTTCAAGCACTCGCGGTGTTTCGGCGGCTTCGGGTACAGATTGCTTCCCTCCGACACCAGAAAAAAAAGACCCGTGGAGCGTGCCTGTCGTGCTTGCAAGTGTGTTTTCGAGACGAGGCGTCACTCTTCATGAAAAAACGTGTCACCACCGGGGACGAACAAATCCTGCCAAATGCATCTGCCACTGCCAGAGGGAAAAAACACACACTCTACAACAAGACACACCAATCTGATCATCATGGATGCATAACATGACCAGTTTACTCCTGACTAACACGCAAGTACATTTTGAGAACGAAGCCGGATTCGCCTGGCCTTCCGTCGGTGGTTCTGCGCGAGGTTCTTCTTGTACCTCACCAGTCCAACCAACAGATTTCCAGTTTCCACAAACCTCTTGGGCAAGAAACTCCCTTTTTGGGCCAGAACATGTTGGGAGAATGATGGAGCTGGACGCCTGAACACATCAACATCCCACCCAATACCCTTGCGGTTGGAGCAAGCATCGTGGATTCTTGTGTTGTTGAGGTTGTTGCCAACGGCCAATGCAAGTCCATAGGAACCTGCTATTTCCGGATTGATGTTTGGCTCGACATGTTTTGTTCTTGCTTCAACTTTTAAGACATGAGCAGGTATGCGCCGACCATGACGGGGTAGGGGCGTGAGAGAGGGATCACATAGGGGTTGAAATCCACCGACCCCGGCCGCAGGAAGGGGGACCGCGTGAGGTCCAAACATGGATGGTCTGGGTTCACAACTCGCTTCCACTCACCACGGTGATGCTACACCCCTTACAGCTATGCTAAAAGCAGAAACCCAACGCAGTGCACCCGCTGGTGAGTGGCTGCATCATATTTATGCCTGTGTACGTTACGTGCTATGGTTTCCTGGTTTTTGTCCATGGGTTTGTTGGGAATACGATTACACTGGGAGGGGTTCCTCTATCTGTTTGCAGTCATGATGCATTGCCAAACGAACCATTGATACCTCTTTGATCGTTTAAAAATGGTATAAAGAACAGCATGGTAACAAGAAATGACACGTTGTTTGCTGGTACTTCCACCTTCTCTCCGCACCACGCTCGACAGCCAGCCCCGGCCACGCTAGCCTTCACGTAGTCCCTTTCCCACCTGTCTCGGCTCGCTCGAAGCTGCTCTCTGGAGCTCTCGGCTCTAAACTCCTCTCGACACACGAGCTCAAGTTCCCCACTAAGCTTCATGGTTTCTGGTACAACAACTCCCGTTTTAACTGGCCATCCACGGCATACCTCTAGCGTTCTACCATATCTGCACAGCACAGGAACTACAGTACCCCACCAGGTCATCAACAGGCGCCGACGACCGACCGTGTGCGACGACGTCCCCAATCGCCTGCCCGATCGCTCCGCAGCGGAGCCCCCGGTCTGCTGCCACTGGCTAGATGTCGCGGGCGTTCGCGGGCAGGATGGTCTCTCCAATGACAGGAGGGTTCAGATCAACACCCATCATTCAGAAACTTTAGGAAATTCATGGAAATTCACCCCAACTGCCACGGTTGATGGGGTTATATTGACCTTCGTTTAGCACAGGGGGTAGTCCCGCAAGCCAGGTTTCTGACATTATCCCTGGTCCGGGACTATGCTGTCCTGTCCCGGGGTCGGCGGCAGGGGCGGCAGCCCTTAAAGTGTCAAATGACGTTTTGGGATTGAATTGGTGACGGTTGTGGTTTCGTGTTGTCCTGTGGTTTCATCGATCTGGCAGTGTCTATGAACTCTCGTGATGCCTATAGGCGGCCTAGGGCCGTGGCAGAGCGTACACACGATGAGGTGGTGCACCTAACGAAATGGTGGTCACTGACTCGTTACTATCTGACTGGGCCAAACATGGGCAACTCCGACAACTCCATTCAAGAACCTTATATGCCCGGATTCTCTGGATCAAATGAATGATTTGGCACGCACGAGACACCGGTCTCGACTGCACTTTAAACAGCGATCTGTGATCAAGCTTCAACTATTGTGAGTGGAACCTCCCGTCCAACCTCCCGACATGGTGTTCCAATCATGAATCATATCATCATTCCCCCTCTGGTGCTCGAACAGCGCCTTGGGCGTCTGCTCAAAGACCACCAGCTGCGTCGGCGCCGTGGGGTTGACCGCGTTGAGGCCCAACTCGGCACAGGCGCTGTTGGCGTCGGCCATCAATCGGACCTTGAACCTCGTCCAGCCGAGGTGAAGCCCGAAGGGCGGCGAAGCGGCGGATGGAAGGTGAGGGGCGCCTTCGAAGCAGGTCGTTCTGCATTCGGACTGGGTGAGAAGTTGGGGGGGCCCTTCCTGATCCTTCCTGCGCATGCGGAATGTGTGTCTTGAGTCTGCTGAGTCGCACACGACAAACAGCAGTCAAACAAATCGCTCTCATGCGTCACTGCTTTTTCGTCACAAAGGTCCAGGCCAGGGATTCTTTTTGAGCGCCTGGTTTGCTGATGTTTGCTGTGCACTCTCCTATACACCTCTGCGAACTTGAAATAGAGTCTGGGGTGTTCTCGAAAACGTGACAAACGCGAAAACACCCGTTCGTTCGCGAAAACGGAGCGAATGCGAAAACGCGAGACATCGCGAAAACGTGTTTCTTGTGTCTTAGTTGTTCGTCTTGTTGTTGCGATTTGCCATTAGTAGCTGGTGAGCAATTGATGTCAGCTATCAGGAAAACTCCTCTTTAGTGGCAAAACTTTTCAGCTGCAATACTTGGAGATGAGTACTCAAAAAATATGTTGGTCGGTTGTTGGTCGGTTCCAAATTAAATTTATGGTGCGGCGGCAAAACACAAAGCTCTGCAGGGCTCCAGGTATGGAATTCGGGAACCAGGACAATGAGTTCCCATGTCCAGAACAAACACACGTGGCTTTGCTTCCATGCAAGATCTTGGAGGGCAGGAAACCAACGGCCCAAACCTTTAGCTGGCTCCAGCAGATGGGGTAGCCAATGTGGGTGTGTTGTACCAGTTGCATCAGCTGCATCTCTACACCTATATGACGACGATGATGGTTGAACAGTTGAAGGTTGAACAGCGGTTCTTTACGGAAAACAGCGGTTGAACAGCGGTGCTTTCGGGGAAAAGAACAGTTGTTAGTTGTTTGGTTTTTGTGCTCCGTTGGCATATGTTTTGTCGTCTCAACTCAAGCGCCTCAAGTTGATGCGACACTCAGTGTCTGTCAGTTGACCAGCCGACTGACTCTGCCCAGTCGGCCAACTAATCTTGAACATGCAGTTGCTTCATCCTGCTTGAAACTTCTAAATTAACAAGTTGGTCAACACATGCAATCTGTTTGGGATTAATGTGTTGAAGATCTGTGGAGAACCTTACTTCATGAAGTTTAGGGTTTAGGGATTCACGTCTCACAACGTTTCAGAACTTCAAAAAAAAACACAATAATACAAGAGAAAAACACGTGAAAACGTGAAAAGCGCAAAAGCACCCTGCTGTTTGCTAATTGGTTTGTTAGTTTTCTCAGTTCCCTTATTTTCTTGTTCTTCTAGTTTGTATGCTACTTTTTGCGGACGAGATAGGCCAAAGACATCCGAAAATAAGAAAATCCGTCAAAAGCGTGAAAAGGTGAAAAGCACGAAAAGGGTTTTCTAGTGTTCTATCGGTTTCTAGTTTGCGTTTTCTTATGTTCTCGTTGGGTACGGTTTTGTGCGACGCAGTTCTTGTATCCTTAGCCCTCTTGGGAGACCCTCGATATATTGAGTCAAACCGGGATTCTGTTTGAGGGCGAAAGAGCAATCCTGCAAACAATTGTCCCGTGCTTGACCATCAACTAAGGCTGAGGCTGCTGGTCCTCAGATCAATCAACATGTACATGTTCTCCGCTCATGATGAGGACCATCTCATCCCCTAATTTGTAGCGTTTATGGATAGTTATATACAGTAAAATATATTATATTGCACACCTGCTGAAGACAGCGCCCCGATCCACTCACACATTCTCCGATAATGTCCCTATGTCACCAGCTGCAAAAAGCATCTAGGTTTTCCGCACCACACACCTGTTTGAACTACCAAGGAACTACCCAAGCTCTGGCCACCACTTTGCGCCCAGCCTAGGCTGTGCAAATGCGCCGCGTCTGAAACCTTGTCGCACCAGTCAGCTATGGTGCGATGTCTTTCGATGTTTCCTCTAACTCCAGCTGTGGCGTGGCGCCATGTTTTGAGAAATCAGATTATATACGTTGGACATCTTCAGAATCGCCCCGAGCTGAATCCCACCGAGCGCCACTCGGCCAAGGAACTGCTCCGCGGTTCCGATCACCTTCATCAAGCCTCTCGATGCTCTGACGGAGTTCATCAGCACCCACGATGCCTCAGAAGACGTGATCAGCTGGGCAGCTGGGCCCGCCCATGATGCCTGACTCTCTTGAGCTGAAACCAAGTGTTTGCAATGAACTAGGAGTAATATGGTTCTTGCTCGAAGAGCATAGCACTGCACCTTTAGACGTTCAATCGATCCACGTTTGATCCTCAAGCGGGGAGAACAAAAAAATTGAAGTTGGCTAATGTATCAGGAATCTATCTCGAATAGGAGAAAAAATGGAACATTATGTGCCTTTCTTCTGGACAGCTGCAACAAGTGCTCGCGCAATAGCTGGGCAAGGCAACTCCTCATAGTTTGGTGAGTACCAGTCAGTGTGTGGTTGCGATGTATAATCGCCAAGACAATGGTAAATGGTGAAGGTTCAATGGCAATATCTATTGAAACCAACCAAAACAAGCAGGTCTGCATGGTCTGTATAGAATGTATATATAGATACATGGAACTTGCAAAATGCTGCATTTATGTGATTCTCCTCGTCAACGGCACGTTGCTCCACGACTGAACGTTCCTCATGAACATGGTCGTGGTTATGGCCATGATCCTTGGAGGCTCCAGAGTCAGCACGATGGTAGCCAGCAACATGCATGCGACACGGCAAGCTTGCACCAATTGGGACAAGCCTCGCTCTGATCGGTTTTGGCCCGTTTGCAGTCCTGAGCGTACATGTCTGCGACATGTATGTATTCCATCAATGGGTTTGGAGCAGTGTACATCAACAGTTGAAGCCTCGACAGGCAATGTCGCGGAAGTACACCATGTGTCGCCCTAAACAAAATGATGTGTATCTCTGTGTGTGCTCGGAATATATTGTTTGCCTTGAAGACTCAGTTATCATATTTGTTGTTTTTGCCATTGTAGTTCATGTCATTTCGGAGGTTCAACTCTTGCCCAAGTTGAGTATCCGGCTGGCTGGCCAAGACGAGTCGGTTCAACCCCCTGCCCGGATTCTGCCCAAGTTTCTGGGTGCCCATCACTCGCCTTGGCAGTTTCCCTTCGCTTCTTCCTCTGCTGTTCTAGCCTTGGTCTGCTCAGTTGACACCGTGTTTCGGTTCTGGGTTTGCTTGAAGCCGTCTGCGCTGCCTCATTTATCCGACTTTGGTGAACCCTAGGGTGGCCATCAGCACAGTGAGTAGTTCTGAGCTCTTGTGTGTAGTAGAACTAGAGCTAGAGCTACGAGTACAGACCTAAGATCTCGCAGAAGGATTTCTGACAACAAGGTGCTCTTGGAGATCGGCGTTTTCCAACCAGCTCTGGTAGATCTCCACTGTGACCTGCAAGCTTCACACACAGGCCCTGGTGAAAGCTATTGAGGACTCAAATTGAGGACCCACACCAAGCCAGACCTGGTCTTCTCCAACCTCTCCTGCATCAAAGTCCTGGATGCTCTTGGCGTCGAATCTCACCAAGTACAACCTCACGCAGTGTCATGTGTACCACAACGTCACAGAGTTGCGCCTGACTTGTAAAACCACATGAATGTCGCATTGCCGGCTTGGCCTTTGCCGAAGAAAAATGAATGGAATGGATCTGTGTTCAAAACCAACCACCAAATGCAGCCACCCATGAATCAACCCCATCCATGCCGGTCGACCGGTCGACCAGTCGACTGATCCGACTGCTCCAAGGAACGGACACTTCGTCCAGGCCTGGCCACCGAAGGCCAGTTGCTCCGGGTTCGCAAAGGACCCCAAAGACCGTTCCACCGTGCCACCTGTGCCGTTCGTTTCGTTTCGAGAACGTTCGGACCGAGGAGAGGTGGCAGTCTCGGAGGCACACAGAGGTTCAACCATCGGGATGTCGCATCAGGATGTCGGCCATCGGGATGCTACTAGGTGTGCAAAAGAAGAAACACTTCTGGCTTCACCCGCCAAGGTGCAAACCCCGTGCACAAAGCCAGGAGTCCTCAAATGCGGTCGCCGCCAGCGACAGGCGTGGCCGCTCTCCCGCACACGCACCACGTCACCCACAGCGAACCTGGTAGGCGCTTTGGCGTATGTTTGCGCCCACATGGCATCAACTGGCCTTTTTGGGGTCGCAGAACATGTGCCTTGAAAAGGAGTTGCAAAGCATTTCAGCTTTGGAGTGACATGGAGTGAACCAAGCTGAAAAGAAGTCTGCTTCACTCTTCAACCGTGCCGTCATGTGTCCTACCACCCATCAAGCTACTACCCACCACGAACCGCCTGATCTACGCCTCCCAAACTGCTCCAAGTGGCCGTGGCTTGGCTTCGGAGTCATCAGCACCCAGCTCAACACCAAGCTCTGCGTTGCTCAGCAGCTGGTGCTCCAGCAAAGCACTGCAAATTGAGGATGCCCACCTCTGTGCGTGCCCACTGTGGTTTACCCATCTTTTCAAACTCATCAGAATAGTCTGCACTCTCTGCAACCTCTCGGCACTCTCTGAAGGCACTTCTCCATGGTTTTTTCCAGAGTGATGTTCCAAGGCACTTCTCATAGTAGGATGCTTTGGCGTAGGTCTCAGACTCGAGGTATTCAATACCACGCCTCACCTGTGGGCCACGGCCGGCGACTTCTTCGAAGAGTCGATCGGGTCGACACGGCCGGTCAGCATGACTCTCAGCGTTCCTCGTAGCGTTTAGAAATTCGAGTTCTGTAGCGTTTAGGACGTTCCGAAGCACAGCTAGCGCTGAAAAACACACGTGACTCTCAAGTTAGCCCGGCGCTTGGCCGGGAGCGTCCTGTTGGTTCGTTCCTTTGTCATGACGTCCTGGACCACTTCGACCGATTTGGCCCGGGGTCCTAAAACAGAATATTGAGGATCCCTGAGGGCTCTTCATAGACTTGGAGTTGCCTTAACAATGTCCTTAACGACTCGTGCTGCGGAGGAGAACACGAGTCACAGCACCTCGTCCACTTTGAGGTGGCCTTTCGCCACAAGCAGCATGGCGGTGGCATGCACCTGGCCTAGGTTGCTGGACGGACGGCACGTCGGTGGCACGCAGGTTCTTCCGCAAACTGCCTGGTGATATTTGGTTGAATCTTTCAGCTTCAGAAGCCTCATATATAGTCAAACCGAGAGAGTCGCTCTTTTGTGCTGTGACGAATATGTTGATCGCATTTCTCCGCCATCTTGACCTACCTCTTTTATTTCTGTTTGGATATCTCATCATCTCATCACATAAAAATGTGTTTTTTAGATATCTTTATCCGAGGCCCCCACGTTCCCAAAACGCATGCTGTCGGTCTCCCTTCAGGGGCAAGGAGCCCGTGGAAGGGATAGCAGGCAGCGTGCCAAGATCATGTGGCCCAATGGGCAGCACCATGTTGGAACGCGTTCCAAAAGTATCTTTGATTGTTTTTGCAAATTGTTGGGTTCTTTGTGGCCTCTTTTTATTCTGTCACAAAAGGCTGAGGTAGGTGGCTGCGGCAGGTGGCTAAGCAGGGTTTGGGTAGATATCATATCTGTGTGTATATCTATATATACAGTATATATGCCTTGGCTGCACTCAAAAAACTTCAGAAAGGTGTGTCAATTTCAAGCAATTCGGAGAGCCGCATGATTCATTGAACTTGCTCCAAAATGTGCATTGCTAGTGATAGCTTGCGTGACATTCAGTCTACATCAAAGATTCACTTGGTGAAAGGCGATCGGCCGACAAGTGGCCAAAACGAAGGACCGGCGTGGTCCAAACCGCGAACGCGCCGCTCAGTTTTCCTAAGCTCGAGCCCCGCCCTTCCGGGGTGACGTGTCAAAGGTTCATGACATGCGACCTCGTGCGCACATCCCCAACACTTCCTGAACCTTTGGCCCAAAGAAGCGGAGGGTACTTCACAATCTCCTCCTCTGCGTCCCAGGGCCAGTTGTGCTTGCTCGCCAACTTTTTCAACTGGCATACAAAGGCAGCTTCTTGCCCTTCCATCTCCTTGATCTTCTGCTCGAGGATCCTTTTGTGAACCTTCTTGCCAGCCTCGAACTTCGGATCGTGGATGAGCCGCCAATGCTGTCGCTGAGCGAAGAAATGAAGCAAGATCTTCCGCGCTCCAAATTTCGTCAGCGCATCGCCCAATTGGGCGTTGCCATTCACCCATCGAAGTTGGGTTTTGGCTTTCACAGCCTGAGACACAGCGAGCGTCAGCTCGTATCCTGCCCTGCTATCTCGCAAGCCATGGAGAGAACTCATGTTCCGGGTCATGGCGTCAAAGATCCCCTTGGAATCCATGACCAAGGCACCAGCCACCTCTTGCACGGCCAGGTGAAGATCTCCTCGTCGAAGCTCAACTCCACCAAGCTCTGCCAAGAGCATCCGAACCGCATGGTTCTGGTCTTCTCCAAGCGTAATCGCCTGGACCTCAGCGCCATTCGATCCAAGGCACTGTCTTGGCGTTTTGCCGCTCTTCCATTGAACCAGAGCCACCTGCGTCTCGATCCCCTGCAGGATCTCCTTGGGCGCCACGCCCGAGAGGATGCCCAAGGTGCTTGACCTGTCAGGTCTGTTATGCTGGCTGGCATCAGCCCAAGTGATCACGGCCAAGTCCTGGACCTTCTCCACCTGCCATGAAGATGGAAACAAAAGACCTTGTCCAGCGTCTCTCCTCATCTCGCGAATCAGTTTGTTGGTCTTATAGAGAGTCTCAATCGTGCCACGGCTGATTTCACTCAACAAAAGGGAAATCTCTGCCAAAAACTGCGGACCAGTCTGAGTACTCCTCCAACTCATGGTACCAAGTGCTCCACGAAGTTGAGAAACCTCTTGGCCAGTCAGTGGCGTTTGCCTTGCCTTGGACTTATCGATCTCAATCTCCTCCAGCCATTTCAAGGAATAGGCTTCTTGATTCAAGACAATGCTGAAGTCCTTGCCCTGCTTGATCAAACAACCAGCAAAATCAAACTGCTCAGTCTCCCATTTTCCCCATCGGAAGGCCTCGTTCAAGATCTTCTCTCTGCTCATGTAGTAGGCCGACTCGGGGTGACCTGCCAGCAGGAAGTCGTCCACGTGCAATCCAGCAAGTCCAACCAAGACTTTATGGCCGTTGCTGTCGGTCTCAAAAAGGGAGAAAAGGCATTTGTCGCCACGGAGCTGAATCCATCCAGAAGCAACCAAGACTTCAACACATCGCTCATACCATTTCCTCGGAGCATGGGCGAGACCATAGAATGCCTGCTGCACACGAAGAGCTCGAAGGTCACCGGGAGGTGCTCCAAAAAGAGCTGACAGCTCTGGCGTCGCCAAGACGTTCAACTCCTCCTTCTCCAAGCTCGTGTTGGTCTGCAAGAAAGCAGATGTGACGTCACCTGCTTTGACGGTCATCTTCATCGATGCCGCGACCGTCAGCAGCAGGTTCCTCCCCACCTTCGACATTGTTGGGCTCGCAGTCTCAACCTCCGTGAGATTGTGGGCTTGGAAGCCCAATACCACCAAACGGGCCTTAGCCGACCCATCACCCTTGCGGGTGAGCACCCAGCGCATCTGCATCAACTGAGCTGGATCTAGGCGGGCATGTTCCTCCTCCGTCAGGTTGCGCAAGGCTCTCGAGATGGAGACTTGCGAGAGCTCCTTTGCCATCGCCATGTCAAACTCCTTCTTCTCACTCAGAGGCAGGCGCTTCCAGTCGATCTCCTTGCCCTTCTCAGCCATTTTCTTGCTCAACCAAATGGCTCCTCTCCGCCTGTTCTTGTTCTTTGCCAACCAGTCGAAGTCATTCTCATCAATGTCCAAGGTGATCGCGATGAAGGTCTCCTTCTCTTCGCTTGCTGCCTCATCATGTTGCGATCCACCATGCTCTCCATCAGGTTGGAGTTCCTCAGAACCATCAGATTCTTCATCAGACGGGGTTGAAGAGGTAGAAGAACTCGACGATGAAGCTTGCTCTTCACCCTGCGTTGGAGCTCGTCGGCCATCATAGAGGTCATACATGAAAGTCTGGCCCTCACGATCTTGATGGTGCTCATCATGTCCTCCAGGTAGGTCACAACCAGGGACAGCACACCGATTTGCACCTGATTCTCCACGGAGAGGTAGATCATCCACCACATCAGGTCCTCGCTCCTGAAGTGCTGCTTGCAGTCCCTGCGAAGGTGGTTGCAGGCCATGTTGATGGTCTGTGGATGCTCTTCCAGGTTCATTGGTCATCTCCTCCTCGGTCTCAACCTTCTCCTTGTCAATCTCCTTGTCCGCTTTCCTCTTCTCTCCACGCCGGGCAGGCGTCTTCACCTTCTTAGCTGGCTGAGGATCAGGAAGCAGCTCAAAATGGGTTTCGCCAGTCCACCTGTCAGGCAAGTTCTTGACAATGTCCACGGTGTCCCTGACCACAACGGGTTCACCAGCATCACCACGGTGTAGAGGGCGAACATAGGTAGTCCTCTTGCCAGAGAGTTCATCCAAGTTCACTGGGCAATGCATTGACCTTGCTGGATTAAAGAGTCCGAGCCGCGGAAGATGATGATGTCGAATCAACACCCGTTCACCTCCTTCATGTCGAAGAGACCATGTGTCTGACCTCATTCGCTCAGCAGCCGGCTCCTGCAAGACATCCGTCGGAGTCAGGTCATGCATCTGCTTCTCCTCTGAAGGGACATCACCTGAGACATCAAGATAATAGCGTCCTTGAAAAGAACGAAGAAGTGTGTCCACTGACACAGGTTGGCGGTACACCGCCGCTCCTTCCATCACTGCCCCAAGTTCTTCACGTCGAGAAACAGGACGGATCTGATTGAGTTTGGCTCTCACCAATGTCGAACCTGAGCTCAGCCAAACAGTAGAACCTTCAAGCAGGATCACTCTCACCGGACCACTCCAATGGCCCTTCACCTTTCCAGGCTTCACTTTCTGCCGCCAGAGCATCACAAGTTGTCCACTCTTGTACTGGGTGACTTTCCGGCCTGTGGTGTTTGCCAACTTCCCAAAACGATCAGCAGCTCGTTCCTTCTCAAAGGCCAATTTAGCACGCTGCCGCTCCTTCACCAATCGGCCAAAAGCTTTGCCCGGGTCCACACCTTGAAGCAACTGCTCATCGTCCAGCACACCACCGCCATGTCCGAAGGCCCACTGGAATGCACTGTATCCACTCGATCCAACATGTGCATTCATCGCTCCAGCCGCCAGAGTGTAGAGGTCGGGGACGGACAGTTTGCTTCCCTCTTTTGCCAAGCGTTCCACCGTGCGCTTTGCAATGCCAATTGCTCGCTCCTCTGGACCCATGATCCAATGTGCTTCTGCAGGGGCAATGCTTAGTCCCACACCAGAACGTCCAAGATGCTCTGTGAAGGCACTTGATGTATAGTACCGAGCTGAATCTGCCAAGACCCAAGTCGGAGCCGGGTAGGTCATCACCCACTTGCAAAAAGAGCGAACCACATCTTCTGTCTTCGGCTCCCAGTTGCCCTTATACTCCTGAATATGGTCGATGAGGGTCAAACCAGATCCACGATCTCGCCAAATGATGAACTTGTTCTTGGTGCCGCTAGCATCCTCATGCTCAAAAACATCAGTGCCAAGGTGCGAAAACACAGGAGGCATCTCGCCTGTGCTTGCCGGTGGTCGAGGTCGTACTTGAGCAGCTTCTCGACATTCAGGACACTCCAAGTTCGAGGCCAGTTCAATCGCCCAGCCAGGAGAACCACGTGCCTTGAGCAACTGCACCAAGTTGGACATACCAGCATGACCACTGGCTCTGTGTACCCTCAGCATCAGCTGCTTGACAGCCTCTAGCTTCTTGCCTGTCGGGGCAGTCTCCAACTTCAGCTTGTTCCTCGAAAGTGCGAACACATGCTCGTCATGTCCTCCTCCAGGTACTGGATCTCGAAGATCAGATGAAGAGACCATGTCGTCGGTCGTGTTGTCATTCTCAAGCAAGTAGGTCTCCACCGATCTCTCCAAAGAGTTCTCCTGTCGCTTCCAGTGATGAGACATGGTCTTGCAAATGTCCTGGCACATCTTTGGAGGATAGTATGCCGATGATTGCGCCGCAGAGCCACGGCAAACTGCATGTTCATGGCTTCTATCACATCTTTTATTCAAGGAAAGCCAGAGTTCTCGGCTTGTAGTCAGAATCGTCCATGACTTCTTGAGAGGGAGTCCTTGCCACTGAAGTCCATAAGCGCATCCATCAATCCGGATCCAGTGAAGTCGCCGGTTATGCTTTGCCGCCAAACGATGAAGTCGTGCAATAGCTTTGGACTTCCAACCAGCTGTGGCAGTTGTCGGCCACTCCCAAGCAATGTCATCTCCACTCTCAAGCACTGGCTCCAGGCTTTGAACCACCTCATCATTCCTGCGAAGATCTTGTCCTCGTCGATGTAGGAAGCGGTCCATCTCTTCTGGAGTTCGAGGAGTGAGATTCTGAAGAGCTGAAAGTCGGGTACATGACATCGATACCCAGGTCAGTCGTGGCTTGGTCTCTGCAATGGTCGTCGCTAGCTTTGCTGTTCCATGCTTAGCATCCAAGTTGAAGCCAGTCAAGTAGTTCACCCGAAGACCTGTGTAGCCATGGTCCTGAAAAGTCGCCGTCAACGTGGAGTTGGGTGAACAGGCTATCTCCATGATGTCCACCTGAGGACTCACTGCACCAATCATCTCTCGAACAGGTCCCATCAAGGTGCGTGTCAAAGCTGCAGCCATTGCTAGCCGTCGGGCAAGTGAAGGTCGCACTTGCTTCTCGGTCACATTCGTCACCGCGTAGAGCTCCTCAATCGTGGAACTCGGCATCGAAGAAATTCGTGCGGTAGGGCGTGTAGAGCTCATGCCACACTTCGTAGTGCTCGTCGTGCGTGTAGATGGATGGTTGCCATCCTCATAGTTGGAGTTGCGTGTTGGGCTCACATTGGAAATTGCAGGATTGATGTCCTTGTCGGCCTCCAGCTGACATAGACATGATGCCTTATTGCAGGCAGATTCCGTCATCTTGCTCCTCAGTCGCCGCAGACTCGACCAGATGCCATTCACTCCGCCTTCTTCGACTCTGTCTCGGAGTCCGGAATTTCCTCCACCGTGTCCTCGGAGTTCACGCTCATGGCAATTGGTCCCCGCGTCGCCGTCGACGATGTTGGCCGCCCAGCATAGCCCTTGTCCTGGGTCTCCTTCTTCACGGAGTTGTCCTGCGGCTTCACCTTCTCCTTGCTCGGGGATCGGTTCTTCTTGGGAGTCACTGGCTCGCTGTCCTCCTTGCTCTTCCGAGTAGGACTTGTCTTTCGGGTCTCTCCGCAAGCCGTCGATGCCATCAAGGCTTCTCCCAACTTCTCGTCCGCTCGGACTTGGACATTGGTCCGACCCTGTCCGCCGCTGTGCACCAGGGTGCGACCCCTGATTTCCATCAGCTTCCCATTGAAGATCTTCTCTGTCATCTCTGATGGCTTGAAGTCGGGCCGCAATTCCTCTTGGGCTTGCTCCACCTGATCTGGTGGCGGGCCAATTGCCCTGGTCTGTCCAGTCGCCTTGCCCTTGGTCACGTATCGAAGACGTAGACCGCATCGAGAGCATGCTTGCCACATTGCCGATCCATTCGCCCGCTCCTTGCCAGGGAGGTGCTCGCCATGGCATGGCCATCCAAGGTGTCGAGGATCGTGATCCGTGGCCGGGGGGCATGCCTTCATCCTCCAGGTGGGATGGATAGGCTTCTCGATGCTCTCGCAACCGCTGAGCCAAGATGCTGAGGCGGTCGTCAAACTCAGACAATCCACTCTTCGTCACCATCATGATCATACCGTTCGACGGAATTGCTGACTGACAATCATCATGAACTTCGACATGTTGTGACTCATCTGACTGCAAAACAGTTGACATGTGCGTGACTGCACTTGACTCATGTGGATGTGTTTCTTCTGGATGAGGGTGAGTCTCCATGTCATCAACACGTGGCGAACGACAGTCAGCCGCAGAAGGCGACATGTATTCACTGGGTGCAGGAAGCTCCGAAGAAGGTCGCTCCTCTGAGGCTCTTGCAGCCGTTGAGGGCTCAGCCATCGGTTCAACGACCACTGATGGCGAAGTTGGAGAATAGTTGGAATCTAGCTCTAAGGCAGGCCTCTCAGCATGTCCATCACCACTACTGCCAAGGGTCACAAAGCAATCAGGATGCTCTCGCCGGCTGGCGTCCAATCTCACCGTAGTCTTCAACAAACGGGCAGTAGGGTCCTCTCGCTTCCTCTTCGTCTCACGATCTTCACCTTCAGGATCGCGAGGTCCGTCGTCTCGAACTTCTCCAGAACGTCCACCTTCGGGAGGAGTTCGCCCAGGTGGAGGATGGTTTGGAGGTCGAGGTCGGCCATCATCCCCATCATCAGCATTCTCATCATCACCGCCATAGCCACCAGGGTTGTTGAAGGGTGGTCCATCTAGATGCTCCAGTAGGAGGCGTAGAGGAAGACGACGTGTCGCCAGGGATAGGGTCAGGTGACCTCCGGGTGCCGTGATCAGCTCATTCGCAAACCATGCTCCATTTTGACCACGATGCGCCATGTAGTCACCATGGTAGGAAATCACCGCTCGGCGCTTCCGCATGTCGCGAGCTCCAAGCAACAATGGGGTCATCTCCGCACCGCCGTCAAGGAGGTAGAAGCTCAACCAACCAAGAGCTGGAGTGTGAAGCCAGACCTTGGAAACCGCTCTTTGAGATTCGCCGTTCCCGAACTTGAACCGAGGCCGCTCAGAGATGTTGACCTCATAGGTGAACAAGTGGGAGTCCAGGACCTTGGCCATCGCGCGAATCCCAGCAACCGACTCCGTCGCCCCAGTGTCCAAGACAACCTTAGACGTTCCAAGGCTCTCCAAGTCAGTCTGGTCAAAGAGGCTCACGACATAGACTTCAGGAACCCATTCAGCTTCAGCGAAGAAGGTCTTTCCTTTCTTGCCCTTTGAACCTCCTTTGCCCTTGCCTTTTCCACGGCCACCAAATGAAGAGCTCCTCGACGAAGATGGAGATGCACCTTTCTTCCCACCTTTGGACCAACGGTCAGGGCACTTCAGATACCCGTGACCGGGCTGACCGCAGATGAAGCACGGTCCGAAGCCACCTCCAACACCTTTGCCCTTGCCAGGTGCTGGACCTTTTCTCTTCCCTTTGCCGCCACCAAGACTTCCAGGATGTCCTTTCGTGCCCGTAGGATCAAAGTAACCCCGTGCAGCACGGACGCGAGCAACAGCCTGTCTTGCTTCGGCCAATGTCTTATTGGCCTCCGTGGCCAATGCAAAGGCTTCTTCAACTCGCTGCTCGTTCTCGAGCTCCTCCGTTGTCTTCTCCTCTGGCTCCTCCGGGTAGTAGTCATTCTCCTGGATGTAGTCCTCATAGGAGCCACCATCATCCCATGAAGTTGGACTCCATGAAGGGCTCCAGTCACTCCAGAAGATGTCCTCGCTCCACCGGCTTGGGTCTTCACTCCACCAGTCATCTTCCAGGCCCCAATCTTCACCTTCATCGGCCGCGTACCAGACAGAGCGTCTTGGCAGCCTTCCAGGATCATCAGCTTGATCAGCACCATCAGAAAATAGAGATCTCAAAGCTTGCCTGATCTGGGTGAAGTGGGTCGAGTTCTTCGTCAGCGTGAGGACATGCTGACGTTCAGCTTGGGTGAGCTTGGCTGCTTTCAACAACCTGTAACCCCGGAGCTCATGCTCAAAGAATCCAGCGTTCTCGCCCTGGGAGGTCTCGACAACCTTCTTATCCTCAGCCGGGAAGTCATCATCTTCTCTAACCGAACTCAATCCTGCCCTCGTCACATTGGGTGACCTCGTAGGGGACATCGGTGGATCTCTTTCGCTCGCTCCGACACCCATGGACTTCACCTCCTGCCGAGCTCGTTCATGGCGTGCACGTTGTAGTGCCTGCTGGAGCTCCGTGAAGAGCTCTTCTTCTCTCACCAGCAGCTGTGGGATCGCCTCGCCATGGGCTCGCTTCAAACCTGTCCATTTCTCCAATCTCGAGAAGCTATCAGGGATTGGAAGCTTCTGCAGTGGCGAGTCTCTGAGGACCCGCAGGAGTTTCTCCAGGCCAGTGTCAGAGGAGAAATCCTTTGGATCTAGGTGGCGAACCACCGACTTCGCAGCGCCCTGCAGCTTTTGCCATATCCGAGGTGCCGCGAGCTTTCTCTCTGTCTCCTTGAGGGAGCATTCAAACCACCTGCACGATGTGGCGAATGCTTCAAAAGAAGACGGGTCACCGTCCCAGGCCGGGACGTCCTCGGCTGGCATAGCCAGCCACCACCAAAGCGCTCCAGCGCCGCACCAAAGCGCCCCAGCTCCTCACCAGGGAGCTCCGCCTACCATGAAAGGCGATCGGCCGACAAGTGGCCAAAACGAAGGACCGGCGTGGTCCAAACCGCGAACGCGCCGCTCAGTTTTCCTAAGCTCGAGCCCCGCCCTTCCGGGGTGACGTGTCAAAGGTTCATGACATGCGACCTCATGCGCACACTTGGCTGCTTGTCTTTCAAGCTAAGCTGAAGAAGCTCGAGCAAGGCAATTTTGCCGCATCGGATCTTGTCTTCAAAAACAGATGTCTGACTCTGATTGATCACTAGGCTAAGCAAGCGGACCCTCGACTGTCTTGCTCTATAATATGTTCCTACAGTAGCTCCTTTGCGTCTTTCAAGTTCTTCATCGTCAACGACACTCTTTACTCTCATGTTCAATATAGAGACAACTGCATTCTGTGTCGCCGCAGCACACCGTGTCCTTCACAAAGCGTTTGCGGTTCTTGGCTTTTCGTGTCATAGCTGAAAAGCCTGCAAGCAGAAACCACCAGTCTCCCTGCTTTCATAGGACGATGGCAGGAAAACCAGGGGCCTTTTGTCGAACAGACCTGCCCAACGTCATGCGGGGCCTTCGGACCTGCCATTGCCGCCGAAACCTGGGCATGGACGCGCTAAATCCCCGCGTGACATGGTTCCATGCACAAGAAGTGATTCGGTTCATTGGTAGGTCAATTCATCAGTGCCTTCTAGTATCTTTATCATGAACAGCTGGCTGGAATTCTCGATCTTAGATCTGTCCATACAATCAGGCAAGCATCGGAAATGATGCGGAGCATGCAAGCAAGACTTTCTTGATACCTTGCAATGGCACTGAAAATTTCAGCCTAATCTCGGCAGTTTTTGCCAAGGCCAACAACATGGAGTGGAGGTTGAAGCCCTCTCGATGGATCACACCTGCAGTTTATTCAATATATAATATATATCATGAAAGCATGGTTGCATTCAACTCCAAATAGTTGCTTGGGTGTGCCTAGGCCAGCTGACGCTGGCATTGTCGGGTTCGAATGATCCATCAGAAAATGCTTCTTCTCCACTCGACACCCACAAGGATCAATGATATTTGACAAAAAACTTGAAAACTGGGTGGGAAATCCGACCCACGAAAATCCAACCAACACCAACCCGCAGGCTCCAGCCAAGCACCACAGGATGGTTGATGATGGCTTCATATGAATTCAAGCCTTTCTTTGGTTACACATCGGTGGTCCTGGAATGGCCACCAAATGCCACACCCTCACTGCTCGGACGCGGCGTGCAACGCCTCCAAGCGCGCCATGGACGCGCTGTCCTGCCGGTTCGAGCGGACGTCGCAGCGCGTCGTACCCAGACAGCCCGACCGGTCCCAGAAAAACCTATGGGTTTTTCAGGGGCCAGACCCCTCCAGAGGATTTGGGTCCACGGTCGCGTCCGGGTAAGAATAAGATCTTCGGATGATCTTGGCATCTGGGTCGATCCACGGGCTTCATCAACCTCCGGACGATCGGTTCGAGAAATCAGCCTATTGGGTTCGTGCGAAAACACCGCATGGCGCGAGTGGTGCTAGAGGTAAGCCCCTTCCGCAAGAGGTCTCTAAAGTCTGTTGGACTCCAAGATCTCCTAGTCTTTCAAGACCTGAAATCTGATATAATCTGACCATAGACAGATTAACGGATCATGAACCTCACTCACGCCGTGTTTGGTAGTGCGGGTGCGCAGGTGTCTTCTTGTTCGACAGGGCAAGCGATGAAAGTGATGGGATCAGGGGAGCTGCGCAAAACCAGCTGGGACCGTGTGGCTCCAGGCCAATAAAAGGGTTGCAATCAGGACCTGGCCTTAACGGCCTGAACAAGTCCTAAGATCTTAACCCCCTTCCAGTTATCTGGGGAATTTGGGGGACATAGAATAACATGAAAGCGAACCCAAAACACATCCAAAGACCCCAAAATCTCGGTCACTCTTCTCCTTGGCCACCGTGGCACTCTCGTCAGATTCACGCCCAGAGAGTTCGGGGCTGAAGGCTGGCACACACAGCACCGTGTAGAAGGTGGCTTCCGGCCAAACCCACTTCACCTCAGAGTCCCTAGTACGTTGGAGGCCATCGCTCTTCGGTTGGAGGCCAGCGCTCTTAGGTTGGAGGCCATCGCTCTTAGGTTGGAGGCCATCGCTCTTAGGTTGGAGGCCATCGCTCTTAGGTTGGAGGTCATGGCTCTTAGGTTGGAGGCCATCGCCTTCAGGTTGCAGGCCATCGCTCTTAGGTTGGAGGCCATGGCTCTTAGGTTGGAGGCCATGGCTCTTAGGTTGGAGCCCATCGCTCTTAGGTTGGAGGCCATCGCTCTTAGGTTGGAGCCCATCGCTCTTAGGTTGGAGCCCATCGCTCGTTGGAGGCCATCGCTCTTAGTTTGGAGGCCATCGCTCTTAGTTTGGAGGCCATCGATCTTACGCTCTTAGGTTGGAGGTCATCACTCTTAGGTTGGAGGCCATCGCTCTTACGCTCTTAGGTTGGAGGTCATCGCTCTTAGGTGGAGGCCATCGCTCTTACGCTCTTAGGTTGGAGGCCATCGCTCTTACGCTCTTAGGTTGGAGGT